AAGCTGACTGGTGGAAAACCTGGAGGTGAATTAGCTGAGATGGGGGTGAAAAGTGAACTTCCCTCCTCGTTCCTTCTCTTCTTGAGGCTTTGTGGTTATGTTTTTTTCATTACGAAAAAAAACCCACATGTCCCTGCCAGTAATCTTCAACTCTGTCGACATGCAGCGTTTCAAGTCTCAAACCACGACAGGAAAAAAAAACACATAGCTCGGCTAGACGGTGTGACGTTTCTGTGTGTCAGCACAGAAAGGAGCCGCAGTTCGACTCCAACTACAAGGTTTATTATAAAGAGACTTAAACGTGTCTCCTCAGATTCAGTAAAGGAAAAAATCCTGACGTTTTTGATTCTGGTTGCAGTTCAGACAACATCAAGTTGGCGACTCCTCAGAGCAAAAACAAACCTTCAGGCTGTATTAAGGAGTGTCAGATCTTAAATACACACATCTGGTGGAAGGAAGCGTGAAGATAAAGTCAATGGCTGATGGATGTCAAAGAGGCATCCACAGCAGTGGGTTTTAAGTCCAGCTCTAAACTGGACTCTGATTCACATTATTTTACACTACCAACCAACTTCTATAATTCTTTTAAGTAGGACAAAATTCAATGTTTCTATTGCATTTTGCACCATTTTTATTTTTGCTCTGCACTGAAAGTTTTCATTGTTTACATTCTGATCGCTGCTGCACCTCATATTGGAAGTTTTATCTACTCCAACTGCAAAATCATTACACTGTTGTAAGCTGTATGCAATGAAATTTGTCTAAGTCTAATCCTAAGCTCATCAATGTAGACGAGTTTAAACAAAACAAAAACCTGGAAACCTTGAAGGTCCAGATTTCGTTCCAGCTTCTTACACTGGTTTAAAATGAATGCATTCTTCCTGAACTGACAAATTCCTGTATCTCTTGCTTTGTAAGCAACCTCCTCCCATTCTGAATGCGGAGAAACAATAAATCTCCATTTTGGATCATATGATCCTTTTGTGCAATTTCCAAAACTCTGATTTCCTCTCATTTTAATTCATTTTTCCATTTTTAGAACATCTAACCTCGTCGTTGACAGCTAAAGATGAATGCATGGTTCCATGTGAGGGAGGAAAAAGATTCATGCAAAATGTTAAATTATTTGCCTGCCGTTTGCCACAGAACAATAATCCCTAAAAATAAAGTTTGTTGAAGCTGTCTTAGTTCTCATCTGCTGCTTTTCAAACTTTCTGACGAGTTAGCTGCTCTCCAGAGCAAATGCTAGCTCTTACGTAAATAAGAAATGGATGTTGTGTGGATGTTGTTGCCATGGTTACCAGCACTGGTATCATTAAATTGGTAATAGCTATCTCCAAATCTTAACCATATTTTTTTCTGTATTTTTTTTGTGATTTGTATTTGCCGATTTAACGTCAATATAATATATCAAATGTGTTATTATTGTTTCAAATCTTTATGACAAAATATAGACCATCCTATAAGGAGCTGTCTTATTGGCTCTTATAACCTTTTCTTAGATACAGAGGCAGTTAGCTGCTAGATTGTACGTAAACAGGAACAGCAAGCAGAGATTTGCTGTAGTTGACTTATTTTTTCTTATCTTCATTTTAAGAGTGTCTAAAGGAGAAAAAATATCTGTTCTAGTTGTTGGTTTACCTTTAAGAAGTAAAGTTTTCTTACTCACTAATCATTGTTTAATTCAGCCATTTTTGGTTAGCAGGTATTTAATCTGTTTACACATATTTGTTTGCAGGTTTTTATTTCTAAATGTTCTCTTATTTCAAATCTACTGCAAATCTAATTATTTAAAATCTTTTTATATACTTTAGTGCCTATTTCTTTAATAGATACTCATGTAAACTTTCATCTGAAAACAGTAATGGATCGTTTTATTTGACATTGTCTGGTTTTGGCTACTTTTATCGCTTATTCATGCTGGGGTTGTGAGGGTTGCTGGTATCTCCAGCTGTCTATGGGTAAGAGGCGGGGTACAACTTGGACAGGTCGCCAGTCTATTGCAGGGTAACACAGGGTCAAACAGGACAAACAACCATTCACACACACACTCACACCTAAGGAGAATTTAGTGAAGCCATTTAACCTGACAGTCATGTTTTTGGACTGTGGGAGGAATCCGGAGTACCCAGAGAGAACCATGCATGCACAGCGAGAACATGCAAACTCCATGCAGAAACCCCAGGACCAGGAATCAAACACGGAACCTTCTTCCTGTAAGGCAGGAAGAAAAATTTTTTCTTCCTGTTACCCACTGCACCACTGAGCAGCCCAGTGTAGAACAACAAATGTGAATAAGTAATTGACATGTATTGTTGGGTCTTTTAAGTTCCCTTTTAGGAAGGAGTATTACAATCATAATTTAAAAAAGCACATCCTCTCTGGCTTCTATGTTACAGCAGATTTTACAATTGATTTTTAAAAGCTTCTAGAGATGTTTAACTCTAGCCTCAATTGTAGAAAAACAGATTCCAGATTGTCAACTTTTCTTAAACAGAGATAAAAACATGTTGGAATGAATGATCCGTTTAGCAGCGAAAGGTCACCCCTTCTCTTTACCTCAGCCTCTGTAAAAACCCTGTAGAAGCAAAAGATGCTTCCTATAAATCATTGACGATTATGCGTTAACCATCTGAAGACAGGAATATTATTTAATTGGAAACATCTTAGCTGATTAAGGCCAAAAGTTGAACTTAAAGCGATGAGAAATGACCAAAACTGCAAAAGCTCCATCCCAGACTCAACAGTTAGGACCTCAGTTAGGAGGTCAAAGGTCATGTCAGGAAAAACAGAAATCAGAGTGTGTCAATTATCCAGTCAAAGTCCATCTACCAGCCTAAATGAGATGTTGTTGTGGAACCTCCAGGGAGCTGAGCAGAAACTTCAGCGCTGGAGCAACGTTTAAGTGACTTAAATTCAGACTGAAAAGCTCTGCACACCAATGTGCTGAAGGTTGTCTTGGGCTGTTCTTACTTTCAATCTTAACAATCTTAATCTTTGTTACTTAAATTTAAAATTTAGTTTTAATAAATCTTGATATTTCATTTTTAGAAGCTGTCAAAAACAACTATTTTCCATAATGAGCAAAAAAATAACAAAAACAAAACACAGACATTGTTTCTGTGTTTCTCCTCTTCCTTTTCCTCCCTCTAACCCTGGAATGTCAGAAATTAGTCCTCGATGGCCGAGGACTTTTAGATGCATCTCTGCTTTAAAACACCTGAAAGAAATAAAGCGGTCCTTTGCAGGAGTCTGGAGAGCCTAATTTCAGGGGAGGAGGTAATTGATCAGTTAGATTCAGGGGTGTTGGACCAGGGAGATGTCTAAAAGTTGCAGGATACTGGACCTTGAGGACTTGTTTGACATCTCTAACCTGTCTCACCTGCAGAATGAAGCTCACAGCTGCCACCTGCTGTTTGCAGCAGAAACAGGTGAAGATCCCTTTAAAGGGAACACCAGGTCTCTGTCTCATGTCAATTGCTTTCTCTTCCCTCACGCCAAAACTTTTAGTGCCTGAATGTGGATTTTTTAAAGTGTTTTTACTGAACTGGACAGACTGAAATAGGTCTGTCGATCTCAAAAGATTTAAAAGATTTTTCAGGTCCAGATAGTTTTAGTTGTTTTTTACATGTTAGTTTTTGTAAGAGTTTACTTTCTGGCATATTACTCCTATTATTAACTCTTTTCCTCCTCTTCTGTCCTGCTTTGATTTGATTTGAGGAGTCTGGACAGCTTTGTTTGCAGCTTTCTGCTTTGAGTGCATATTTTTTTAGCGGATCTTGTTTTGCTAAGACATTTAAAATCTGCAAAACTAATCTACCCGAATCAGTAAAGGAGCCTTAAACCTTCAAATGTCTAAAAATTGAATGCATGCTGGGGGAAAGCATTTCTCTTCTGTTTTTTTTTCCTCCTCTGAAAGTTGTTTCCTCTAGAGACAATGACCTCATGTCTAAAATATGGAGACTTCACTGCAACTATTTTTTTTTTTTTACATTTTTTAAGCCCTTTTTTTCATCTCAGTGTGTATGGTAACATCTTAGATGCATTAACATCTAAAATGTAATATTTTACAGAACATTCTATTCCTTTTTTTTTTTTGGCTGAGTTATTTAACAGCGCATTTGATGATGGATCATCATGAAAAAGACAAAACTGCTATGCAATGGGAACCAGGAGCTCCAGAAAGTGCTGAGTCACTGGTTGCTGAAGAACAGACAAGAATAAAAATCTTAAATATCTCAGTCATTGTAGATCATCTTTTGGTAAAATTAGAAAATAAATTGTGATCTATGGGATTTTGAACCTTTCAGTGGCCACATGTACATTTCTATGTGTTGCTTTGTGTTTAATATGAGAGATATGAAGGGTTAAAGAGGCTTTGCTGAGTTATTTCTATCTGGATTATACAATACTTGGAGTGAATTGAAGTTGGAGTGTATTTTTCAATGAACTCTGGGCTGATCTGACTTAAAAATAAAAGTCTTATAGAGGTATGCTGTTTAAGAATAAATATACCTACCTTGTGATGAAAGTGGAGAGATTATCGATTGCCCAGGATCAAAATTCACTGAGACAGAAAAACCTTAAACATCAGGTGTGTAGAAAGTGACAAAAGGATCAAAGGACCAATTCAATCTAAGGAAATTGTTTAAATTTAGTGACTTTTCTGGAAAGTTTGGCGGAACTTCAAAAAGGTTTTTCTCTGTTGAAAAAAATCAGAAAGACATGTTTCCCCTCCTGCTGCTTCTAGAGACACATTCTGTTGTTTACTTGATTGTTCCTTTTTCAATAAACATGTTTCAGGACTGGGTCAGGAAAGTGGTCAACACTGTTGTATCAGAAATACAAATGGGGTTTTATTCTCTTGTAGCCATAAGCAGACTAGTCCACAGAGTTTGTTTCAGTTATTTTTAACACATTTTGTGTTGATAACACAACTTGTTTTTAAAGCATTTTTCCCATAAACCTAATACAGATTCTTGCTCCTCTCTGTTTTCCAGAAGGCAGCTGTGAATATGATGGACAGATCTATGAAAATAAGGACATCTGGAAGCCGACTGTCTGCCGGATCTGCGTTTGTGACGAAGGAAAAGTACTCTGCGAAGACATCCAGTGTGATGACGTGACAAACTGTGAGAAGTTGTACGTCCCGGATGGTGAGTGCTGCCCAGTCTGTCAGGCGGATTCACCAAACACCGGAGGCGGGACAGGTACCTCAGGTGAGCTTATAGAACTGCTGGACACAAACTGAGCTGCTTAAAATTAAGACAAATGTTTTTTTTCTTGTAAAAATACTAAAAGATGAGCAGAAGTGCTTTTTTTTTACAGGTTTATTCTCTATTAACTATAAAGTAGCTGAACTGAAATTTGTACCCATTCTTTTTAAGATTTTTGTCTGTAAATTGACAAGGCCATTAACACATAACAATTCTCTGATCTGAACTTACACATACAATTCTACATGTAGACCAAAAATGTTTTTTTTTTCTTTCCTCTGAGCTGAAAATTGTATACCTACCTGCTGAAAACAGGACATTTTTTGGGTTTTATCTCAGTAATTGTGTGTCTTCCTATCACTCTTCTATATAGGCCAGATTTGTGGTATGGATGTTTAATAGATGCCCTGTGTAGAGATTCTACCGTCTGGGCTATCTAAAATATTGGACTGACTAAAACTCAGGCTTATATTGGACCAATTCTTGAATTTGTCTACTAGAGCTGACTGTGGCTAATAACAGAGAGTATAGCTAAACTAAACCATTGTCTTTAGCAGGTATTTACAAATAGGCCTACAGAAAAATGGATTAAAAGTTGTGCATAAATAAAAAAAAATAAAAAGCTCAGAATCAGAAATACTTTAATAATACAGTTCATAGGTTTAGTCTACATCACTGAAATATGCAAACAGACTAAAGATCAATGAATCAATTTGTAAGATTTCCCAACAGCAGAAATACATGGAGAACTTCTTGTCGACCTTTGAAAAAAAATATTGTGACAAATTTATAGTTAAGAAACTTCATAGAGAAAATTAGTAAACAAACAAAATTTGCTTGAAACATAGACTCAGCGTCCATTAGTCTTTCTATAGCTGTAACTTATATTGCAGCTATAGAAACAGTTTTCAGTGAAGGAATAACTCTTAGAGTCACATAACGTCCTCTGGACTCAGTGCAGGAGGTGGGAAACAAAAGGATCCTAACTAAATTAACATCTCTGTTGGATAATGTCTCCCACCCCATGCTTGAAACTGTTGCGGAACTTGAGAGCTCCTTGAGTGACAGACTGCTGCTCCCTAAATGCACCAGGGAGCGTTATCACAGATCCTTCCTCCCAGCTGCTATAAGACCACAACTGTTCCCAGCAGCCTCAATAAGTTGCTACATTCATGCTGATTTTGCACAGTTTCTATCTTAGTCAGTTAAATAACATGCAGCTGTCATTTTGCACATTTCTGATGTTGCTGCTATTTTCAAATGTCCATTACTATAAAAATGTCCATAGCTGCATATTGGTTATTTATTCTCAATGTGCACAGTTCTATATTGTTAAAACACTTTACAGTACAGTTTTTTATTGTTTATCTTTTAACTTTTCTATCATTCTTCTCTATTATTCTTATACATTTTTCTAGGGTCCACAAATGTATGACCATGTTTTCTACATTCTTTTTGCTGCTGTAAACACCGGAATTACCCCATTGTGAGACAATAAAGGGATTTTCTATTCTATTCTATTCTATTCTGTCTCTGTTTTAATCAAAAACAGAGACAGGAGGCTAATCTGTTAAGATAATCATTTGACACTGAAGTAGAAAATAAAAAATAAACATAAGAAATTATTTGTGATTGGGAAACTGATTTTAAATATAGTTGGATCTCAGNAAACAAAAGGATCCTAACTAAATTAACATCTCTGTTGGATAATGTCTCCCACCCCATGCTTGAAACTGTTGCGGAACTTGAGAGCTCCTTGAGTGACAGACTGCTGCTCCCTAAATGCACCAGGGAGCGTTATCACAGATCCTTCCTCACAGCTGCTATAAGACTCTAGAACCACCACTGTTCCCAGCAGCCTCAATAAGTTGTTACATTCATGCTGATTTTGCAGTTTCTATCTTAGTCAGTTAAATAACATGCTGCTGTCATTTTGCACATCTCCGATGTTGCTGCTATTTTCAAATATCCATTACTGTAAAAATGTATATTGGTTATTTATTCTCAAGGTGCACAGTTCTATATTGTTAAAACACTTTACAGTACAGTTTTTTATTGTTTATCTTTTAACTCTTCTATCATTCTTCTCTTTTATTCTTATAAATTTTCTAGGGTCCACAAATGTATGACCATGTTTTCTATATTCTTTTTGCTGCTGTAAACACCAGAATTTCCGCATTGTGAGACAATATAGGGATTTTCTATTCTATTCTATTCTATTCTATTCTATTCTATTCTATTCTATTCTATTCTATTCTATTCTATAAAGAGGCATCTAACTGTGAATATTTACCAAACAAACTTTTTCATCAAAAACAGAGACAGGAGATTAATCTGTTAAGATAATCATTTGACACTGAAGTAGAAAATAGAAAACATAAGAAATAATTTGGGATTGGGAAAATTTTTTTAGATATAGTTGGATCTCAGAGACATTTGCATACTTTTTTGGCCTTTTAATTCTGTTACTAGGAGACAGTTTGATTTTTTTAGACAACAAAGTACCTACCTATTAACAGTCAAAACTATTTAAAACTGATAAAAGAAAATACCTGTAATTTTTTCGCGATTTGCCTCTAAATTCCAAGCGCCAGATGTTGAAATATTGTTTGATCAGATAACAAGTGTATATCTATTTAGATGAGTTAGTTTTAAATGCAGATGTCAATGATTAAAACTGATTTAAAATCCAGTAGGTCTTTGATGATTTCCCTTTTGTGGGAAATGTACCTTTGAGACAATTAAGCCTTTAAAACAATAGAAAAAAACAACAACATTTAAAACGTGAATAATATTATATGTAGCTGTTAAACTGTGATTATCACCCCATTATCTATTTTTAAGTTAAATAATTTCATCTAACAATACAGTTCAATGTTTGACATTATAAACAATATATACATATTTTTATACAGTTAGAATTTTGGTTGTACCTCCCAGAGCACAAAAACACACAGTTATAATAAGGCATGCATAAAAACACCTATAAATCTTCTTTTCCAGCTCTAACCCAATGGAGTATATTAAATTGCAGTACCAAAAACAAATGTTTAAAACATTGTTGTGTTTTTTATATTGTAACAGACCACATCCAATTTTGCAAGTGCAATATGAGTCATCCCTCTGGTTTGGAGAAAAAATGACATGTTGCAATCTTCTCCTGGTGCAGCTGTTCCCAGCATTCCCTACTTTTATCTTTAGTTAATAAATAAATAATAAAAACTTTTATCAAAGAAATGAACAGTTTTCTTAGTTATGAATATTGACCTTTTATGCTGGCAGAGAAGCATGCTGACCACTGCAGCTCCTCAGGAATCACTGAGGTTTTCTTTGTTGCCTATCTGATAAATCAGTTTAGGTGGACATTTGCCTTCGCAGGTCCCCAGTGAGTTCATCCCTTCTCCAGGTTTAGACAACAGTTCGAGCAGAACTCTATGAGTTGTTTAAAGCTTTGAATGTAGTTTTAAAGCCTTACTCTGCTTTAAATTTCTCCAAATCATCACTGACCTGTCTGTTGGGTTCCCTGATCTTTATGATGCCATTTGTTCTCCAGCTTTTTGAAGGAAACCCTTGAGGCCAGAGCCAAAACATCTGGAATAAGACTCAGATGAAATCACACACAGTAGAGTTCTGTTTACTGATGAATAAAATGCTAATGGTGGTTATGTGGGTTAGATTTAAATAAATATAACTACTTTAAACAGGGGTGAATATTTACACCAAACTTAGTGTTTTTTTTCTATATTTTTATTCCCATCTCAGGTGCAGTATTCACTTCTTGATACTGGTCCACCTCATAGAAATCAAAATAAAACACATGGATTAGCTTGGTTGGGAATAACAGTGTAAAAGCTTAAGGGGTGTGAATACTTTTTGCAAGGCTCTTTCAAAAACCAATGGCTGACAATCCTAAAATGTAATCTTTTTTTTTTTTTTTTTCATCATGTAGGTGGAGGCAGAGTCTATAAGGTAAGACAGCCATTCCTTCCAGTTTCATCACGTCAGTCAGGTGCTATGATCCCTCTAATGCAGCATGAGTCTGAACCTGATTTCCTTCTGTCTTCTCAGGGTCAGAAAGGAGAACCAGGAGAGGTTCCATATGTAAGTCAACCCGCATAAATTAATCCATCTAAATTTCTAAGACCAGCATCTGACTGCTATTTTTGGGGACTTCTCTGCAGGTGACGGGAATCAGAGGCCGACCAGGACCCATGGTGAGCATCCCGGTTAAGACCCCAGTGTCGGAGTTGGTCCACCTCAGTCTAAACATCAAACAATACAATAACTCTCTGCTAAAATGAAAAAAAAAATAGCATTATTGTGATTGTCTGTTAGTTTAAAATACTTGTTTATTCGACAGGGACCTCCCGGCCCATCAGGAGAGAGAGGACCTCGTGGACACAAAGGAAGACCTGTACGTTACTTTCAGTCTTCGCACCCTTTTTTCCCAGCTTTTTTTTGTCACTACACTGCCACAAGTACAGAGCAATGAAATTAACTCTCTGCATTTAACCCATCCCCTTGTGGAGCGTCAGGCTGCCATTGTGCAGTGTGGGGTTAAGGGTCTTTTACAGTATGGCATCACATTTATTTCAAAACGCTCACAAGCAAAACAAGCATATTTGCATGTATGTTAAACTACTTATGCACATAATTTATCTGTGTCACATTTATGTCAAAACGTCTTTCCCAACCAAAGTGGCAGTCTGTGAGAGTGGGGCTTAAACTCAGAACCTCTGGATTCCAAGCACAATGCCCTAACCCATAGGCTGCCAACAGAAGGCTTAGAGACTGCAGAATCTACAAATTCTTAGATAGCAATTAAGAATCCATTTAAAAAATGATGATGAGAAAAATGTCTTTACCTTGATTCCCTGTAATGACCTTTAGCAGGAGGTTCCCATTATCCATTGAAAAGTCCCAATAATTTAGACTTTAATGACTTTTAATGATCAACTGTTCTTTTTACAACAATAATGCTTTAAGTCAGTGTTTAAGTATATACAGACATCCCTTTAAAATAGGAGT